GCATCATTGATGGACTCGGGGGTGGCAGCGGTGGTGAGGTTGGCCCAGGATCGAACATTGTTTCGTTCTGCTGTGCATGGAGTCGCTATGAGTCAGTTCCGACTCGATGGCACCTGACAACAACAACAACAACAACAAGGTAAGGGAAACTACTATTCATAAGACAGTCAAGAATTTTAGTATTATTTCCCCTCTTCAAGCTTTACCTAGATCCCTGTAGCCCAGAGCCCTGTTGTTCCAAGGTTGAGCATGCATCACTATTTACCTCTGTCCTACTTAGAACATGCAAACCTGTCACAGTGTTTCTCTATCTATCTTGTTCTTTCTCCTCTTCCCCCTTCTTGTATTGCCCTCCCCAACACCCTATCTAAACGCCCCACCCAACCCCATTGTTGTGGTTACCTCATATTCCATTAATTCTTCCCTCCATTTAAGACAGTCTATTTTATCCTATAATCTACCTGACCTTTACACCACCTGGATCTCTGTTCCTCTGTGTTTACCTTCTTTCACATTGTAATTGTTTTGGTCATAGACTGACCTCCCATATCCTCAGTTTTTATAATTTTATTCTGTTCTTGATTCTTCCATTTGTCAGTTGAGTTCAGGGTGATGATGCTACCTACGTGTGTCATTCTGTAGTTGTTGTCTGTTCTTGTTGGTTCTCAGCCCACAGAACTTCCTTGAGGATGCTTTTCATAGCAGGGTTGGCTTTGGTAAAAATCCCTTAGCTTTTGTTTATCCTGAAATGTTTTGATTACACCATTGTATTTGATTGTTGAGGATTCTTGTATGGCAGTTTTTTTCTTTCAGGGTTTTATATCTGTCTCCCCATTGCCTTCTTGGCTGCATGGTTTCTATTGAGCTTAATCTGATTTGCTTGCCTTTGTATGTTACACTTCTCTTTTTCCTAGCTGCTTTCAGGAATCTGTCCTTATCTTTGATTTTTGAGAGCTTGATTATTCTATGTCTTGGTGATTGTCTTTTAGGGTCTATCCTTCTTGGGGTTCGTTGAGCTTCTTGAATGCTTATCTTTTAGCTTTTCAGGATGTAAGGCAAATTTTCTTCCAGAAGCTCTTTAACTATCTCCTCTGTGGACTTGTGTGATCAGAGCCAGCTGTGGCTGTTTGGTTTTAAGTAGAAACTGTCTCTTTAAATTTTGAGGCGATCTGTGTGCATGCGTAGTAGAACCTTCCAGGGTGGGGGTGGGGCGTCTACTCGCTCAGGCACTCCCTCTAGTCACCAAAATGGAGGTGCACAGATAGTGAGAGACCAATGAACAAATACAAAAGAAAAAAAAAGAATAAAAAAATGTCCACACCTTTTTCTCTGCATGCAGTTCTGTCAGGTATCTGTAGCTGCTCTGATCCTTCCCCTGTGTGGTCTCGCCCAAGATGGCGGCTCCAGGAGCTCCTGAGCAAGTGTGTTGAATTAGAAAGCAATGGATTTCTTGCTTCTGCTACAAATTCCCCTAGCTGTAAGCCTTCCAACCTTCTAACTATTCCTTTATCTCTGGTTCAGAGTTCTGGGACCATCCCCTGAGCCTGCTTGGTCGGGTATTCTGTGTTGTTGTTGACGGAACTTTTCACTGCACTTCCACCTGATCTGCCATCTTGTTTGTTCCTCCCAGTATCATTCTTAATGGAGAGAAACTGAAAGCATTCAGTTTGGAAACAGGAACCAGACAAGGATGCCCTTTATCACCACTACTATTTAGTATTGTGATGCAAGTCTTAGCCAGAGCTGTAAGGCAAAAAAGGGAAATTAGAGACATCCAAATTGGCAAAGAAGAAGTAAAACTCTCATTTTGCAGATGATATGATCCTATACATAGGAAATCCCAAAGACTCAGTGAAAAAAACTATTGGAAGATTCATCAAAGTATTAGGGTACAAGATCAACATACAAAAATCAGTTGGATTCATCTATACTAATTAAGATAGCACTGAACAGGAAATAGGAAAACAATACCATTTATAATAGCCACCCAGAAGATGAAATATTTAGGAGTATATCTAACCAAGGAAACAAAAGACCTATACAAAAAATTACAGAAGCTTTCAGAGAGCTTTTGGTTTTGTGGGTTATTTGAATGAAACTGATAGATATAATATTTTCAAATATTTAGTTTAATATACAATTGTTGTTGTTGTTATGTGCCATGGAGTTGGTTCCGACTCATAGCGACCCTGCACAGGGTTTCCGAGGCTGTTAATCTTTACGGGAGCAGAACGCCTCATCTTTTTCCTGCGGAGCAGCTGGTAGTTTCGAACTGCTGACCTTGCGGTTCGCAGCCCGATTCGTAACCACTATGCTACCAGAGCTCCATTGATTACTACCATATTATATGTTTCTATAAAAATAACTATTTTCCAAACAAAAAATGAGAGGAATGACATTGTGTTACTTATTTGCAAATCAAGAAAGTCTGGCTTAATAGAAGTTAGCTGAATTTTGATTTATTAAATTTTTTAAGAGTTCTCTTAGCGTAGTGGATTACAAACTGAGCTGCTACGTGTAAGGTCAGCAGTTCTTATCTGCCAGCTGCTCTGTGGGAGAAAGATGAGGTTTTCTGCTCCTGTGAAGATTTGTAGCCTTGGAAATTCTATACACGGTTGCTGTGAGTTGGAATCAACTCCATGGTGCATCACCACCACCACCACCACCACCACCATTAAATTTTTACACTGCAGTGTGGTGAATTGCATTAATATGACCCTTCTAGCTATGGTGTTTGTGACTGCCACAAAATGATCATGTAGAATAATGCACATAAGGTGTTTGTAGTCCACTAAAGGGATTGAACAAAATGCTGATAATGCAAGTTAATTGTTTAGAAACCTTGTTGGGAGTTGTAGTTGTTAAGTGCTGTTGAGTCCATTCCAATCCATAGCAACCCTGTATAGGGTTTCTGAGGAGCAGCTGGTGAGCTTGAACCACCAGCCTTGCAGTTCAGACTGAAGTAGGATCAAGCAAATAAGGTGATGGTGGTGTTACGTGCTGTTGAGTTGGTTCCAGCTCATAGTGACCCTGTGTAGGGTTTCTAGGAGTGAGTGGTGGGTTTGAACTGCCTATCTTCCAGTTAGCCGTCCAGTGCTTATCCTACAGTGTCACTCCGAATAAGCTGCGTTGTTGTTGTTAAGTGCTGCTGAGTTGGTTCCTACTATAGCGACTCTGTGTAGGGTTTCCTAGGAGTAGCTGATCAGCTTAAACTGCTGTCCTTGTAGTTCAAACCGATCTTGCAGTGTATCATATTAATCCACAGCACCACACCAGGACTCGAGATAAGGTGTTTGAAACTCTAAAAAGGACATTTGTCAATTTCGCCACTCTGCTAGGCTGAAAGGGTAGCCAATTTCAGAAGTAGAGCTGGGATCCTCACTAAGATTAAGAAGAATGAGAGTGTCTTTTGGAACAAAAGCCCTGTGCTGAGATCCTCCTAGACCCAGGAGACAGCTGTAACACCAGAGATAGTGTAAGATGTCAAGAAGCAGAGGCAGACAAATAGCACCTGCAGAACCAGAAGACCAACAGGAGACACAGTGGGCTTCCTGGTCAACAGGAGCCAGGCAGCTGTAGTAGATGACCCACAGAGCCTGAGAAGCGGGAGCTTTGGGCAGGAGATTACTCTGGCATAGTGGGATACCTTTGGGCACTTAATTAGCAGAGCTAAAGAGCTTTGTAACTTGTTTCTGAGCAGAATGCCAAGAGACCAAGGGTCAGGAAACCTGGGGGTTGAGGGAGAGGCCTGCCTTCAGACGCAGTTGAGAAAAAGCTGTGTTGGCAGAACTGTATCCTGAGTCCTTTCTGACCCTGAATTGTAACCTTTTATAAACGCTATAGCTGTATGGTCTATGTGTTTAGTGTGACCTTTGTAACGAATTCTAGAACCCAGCGTAGAAGTATAGAGTGCTATAGGAGAGAAGCACAGGAATCACATTGGGTAAAGACAATGGGAAGGTGCAATATCATCAGTTAAAACAAGACCAGGGACAGACTGTGGAACATAACATCAGTTGTTCCTGTGTAAGATCAGGTTGAAGTGGAAGAAAACACACACAAGTCCATGACAGCTAAAAATACGATTTTGAGTATGGTGGTAGTTGTGTGCCACCGAGTCAGGTCCAACTCATAGGGTTTCTGAGGCTGTAAATCTTAACGGGAGCAGAAAGCCTCATTTTTCTCCTACAGAGCTACTGGTAGATTCAAACTGCTGACCTTGGGATTAGCAGCCCAGCTCGTCCACTATGCTACTAGGGCTCCTTGACCTTGAGTATATCTCTCCTGAATTTAGGGACATTCTCAAGAACTAATTTGTTTGTTGTATTATGCACTAATGACTAGAGATCAGAAGCGTTGTGGAATGAATGACATAAAGAACATCACACATGACTAAAGTAAAATATCATTAAAGTGATTGGATGAAATGAAGTAAAAACTGAACAGAAAATTTCAAAGGACAGTTTAAGAAGACCAAGTAAAGTCTTATAATGAAATGTGTGAAAACCTGCAATTAAAAACTCAAAAGGGAAGAACATGCTCAGCATTTCCTAAGCTGAAGAAAAAATTCTAGCCTCGGGTTTCAGTATCGAAGAATTCTATGGGCAAAATATTGAATGAAGCAGAAAGCATCAAAAGAGGATGAAAGGGCCCAGGAAACAAGGCAAGTGATCGGGTCCCCTCAGTGCAAACCCCCTTCCAAGACTAAGACTCAGTGGGAATACACGCTCTGATTGGTGACCACGCTCGTCACTGACAAGGGGAAGTGAGGGAAAAACAACAATGAAGTGGCGAGCTAAGTCCTACAATATGGAGAGTGAAGCGTTCAGCTGATAAAAAGAGAGGGCATATGCACAAGAACACCCATACTTGCAGATAATACCCACTTGACCTGTTTTAAATGACTGGATGATCAGAGCTCAACCAGAAGAAGAAAGAAGAGAAAAAAAGAGTAATCTGATGCAATTTGATGAACTTGACCTATACCTATGGAAGCAGTAGGTCAAAAGAGGGAACAAAATCTTACAGCAAGAATCATTCCCACCCCCTCCACACACAGAGTAGACAGGGATGGGCAACTTAGACAATGGCTACCCAAAATGGGGGGGCGGGGTAGGGCTACAAAGGCAAGAAGTGACTGGCTTACAAGCTTTCAAGAGGTAACCTAGAGCATGTTTAGATGGATCAATTGGGACAGAGATAAAGGACGATGTGTGCATAGCCTTGGAGCGCCAGGGTTCTGAGATACAGGGATTGACCCATGGTTGGAATGGGCGGGGAATCGTGTTAAGATGCTTGACTGTTTTTTTGAATCTTTGTTTCCCTTGCATTATAATATAGAGTAGACACTGGAGGGGGAGAGAAAGGAATAGTCAGAAACATCACACTAGAAGTGTACGTCCGTTTTCTGCCTTTAACTGATTGGAATATCTAAAACGGGGCTACAGCATACCCGGTGAATGAGGCTTTCTGCGGAGACTTGGCAATACATAAAACTATAGGTAGAAACCAGAACCACATCCAGATCTCCAGAGATGAGAAATCCCCACTTGAAGGGAGGAGCTGACGAGCCTGGAATGGTGAGAAGAACAAAAGATACGTCTCGAATGGAAGACCTACAGGAAAAACACGACACAATGGAGACAGATGGATTGCTACTAGGAACAAACGGGTCACTTCCCTAGGAGACATTGGAGCAGTCGGTCGGGTCCCACCAACGTAGGGCCCCCCCCCAAAAAAAAAAAACTGACACTCGGTGGAAATGCACGCTCGGATTGGTAAACACACGCATCACCTTTGGGGAGAAATGGGGTAAAGGCAGCAATGAAGCGGTGAGCTAAGCCTCACAATATTCAGAGGGCTTCTGTGGACCCGGTTGGGAACCTGGTTGGCAAGCAGTGCAAGGAGACCCGAGGATTCCTGGGCCCAGAGTCAGTGATGTGGCCACGGAGGACTAAAGTGGAGAATGGAGCTGCCGGCTGATGGGAAGAGAGGGCATGTGCACAAGAACACCCACACTTGCACACTGGATGACTGGATGATCAGAGCTCAACCAGGAGAAGAAAGAAAGGGGTGGGGTGGGGGAAGAAGATTGAGCTGATCCAAGCTGATGAACTTGACCTATACCTACGGATGCAGTGACACAAAAGAGGCAACAAATCCTTACAATAAGAAACATTCCCACCCCCTCCACACACAGAGTAGACAGAGAGGGGCAGCTTGGACATTGGATACCCGAATGGGGAGGGAGGGACTACAAAGGCAAGAAGTAACTGGCTTACAAGCTTTCAAGAGGGAACCTAGAGCTAGGGGGCATGGAGGAAGGCAGAATCACCAGTGAGTACTATCCAATTTGTCTAGGTAGAGCTGATGAAATGAAATACAGATGGGTTACGTGCGATACTGTAGTGAATAATGGTTACTAAGACGGATTGTGAGGGTTGGAAATGCAAGGGGAGATGTTTTGTAGCAAGGAAGAGAGTGATTATTTCTCCAGTCTAGGAGCGGAGGTTTCTGGGACCACCAACGGATAAGAGCCGAGAACGGGACCCCACCCAGAGAACTGGGGATGCCTGAGATGGTGACAGAGATGATGACATGGAGGGATGAAGCGGCTGGGGACTTTGGATCCAGAGAGGGAGAGGAACTGTGGGCTGAAGACTGAGGGAGGAGGGGGGAGTGTAGAGCACGGGCTTCTAGGATATGCCCTTTGGTCGGAAGACGATGCATGGAGGGGATTGGAACCATGGCATTGTAATGATATACGATGGAATGAATATGGAACTGAGGTTCTCTCATGTAAACTATCATATAATTCACAATAAAACATTAAAAAAAAGAGGGAACCTAGAGACAGGGGGCCTGGAGGAAGGTAGAATCTCCAGTGAATACTATCCAATCTGTCTAGGCAGAGTTGATGAAATTAAATGCAGATGGGTCTCTTGTGATACAATAGTGAATAATTGTTATCAGGGCTGATTGTGAAGGTTGGAAATGTAAAGGTAGACATTTTATAGCAAGGAAGGAAGTGATTAACTTTTCAGTCTAGGAGCAGAGGTCCTTAGGAGAAGAGCCGAGAGCGGGACCCTACCCAGAGAAACAGTGATGCCTGAGATGGAGGTAGAGACAATGACGTGGAGCGATGGAGCAGCTGGGGGCTTTAGATCCAGAGAGGGAGAGCGACTGTGTGCTAAAGACTGGGGAGTGGGGGAAATAGTGTAGGGGGCAGGCTTGCAGGGTATACCCTTTGGTTGGTTGATGATGCATGGAGGGATTTGTAACCATGGCAATGATACAATGTACGATAGAATGAATGTAAAACTAATGTTCTCCCATGTAATATAATTCACAATAAAACACTTAAAAAAAATCTATGGGTGTATCTTGCAATTGGAATAGATCTTTTATCCATGTATCACGGTTTTGTTACAGCATGCACTGGTCATTTGGAAAATATTTGTTGACTGTAAATAAAGGGGCTTCAAAAAATTCTGTAGCACTTAACAACAATAAATTGACAACTATGGGATATAAAAAAAAGGAAAAAAAAGAGGATGAAAGGAATGCACAGAGTCACTGTACCAGAAAGAGTAGGGTGATGTTCACATATTTCAAGAGGTACCATTTGATCAAAAAACCCCGTAATAATGAAGGAAAAAGTTCAGGCTGCTCTGAAGTTATTGGTGCAGAGCAAGACTCCAGGAATCGACGGAAAACAAATGGAAATATTTTAACAAATTGTTGCACTCACTTGTTTATACCAAGAAATTTGGAAGACAACTACTTGATCAGTGGGTTGGAAGAGATCCATATTTGTGCCCATTCCAAAGAAAGGTAACTCATCCTAACTACCTTTACCATGGTATAGGCCCTCCACCTCCAATGTAGTGCAACAAATTACAATCAACCTTTGTCTCTACCTAGTCTGACTCCCATAAATCTGTCTCCTGGTACCTGCCCTGGTGAGCTGTTTGAAATGGAGATAATTATAGTTA